CTGTGTGTGCGGAAAGCGAGTGCATTTTGTCACCATTTTCATCTCAGCAACCAGGAAAACTGGGAGGCTGAAACTTTGGATATACGTTCCTACCGAGTGTGTCATCCTCCCGTTTTAAGATCTTTTCCACACGCGCCTAGACTCCGCGTACGGAACCCCCAAAGAAATATGTTGGCGAGAAATGACTTTGCGAGCCAGGCAACGTAGAAAGCTGAAACTTTGCAGGGATATTCTCTATGCACGTGCGAGCTAAAAATTTTTAACTGAGCTTTCTAGCTCCCCAACCACAGCCTCAAGCGGCTACTCAACCCAAAATCGACCTAAACCGCAACTTAAACCGCGATCATATATGCAAATGAAAATGGTTTTGAAAAACGACCGTACGAGCAATATTTGCAATTTTTAATGAACTGAAAGTTTGTATATTTTCAAAAAAATCGTTCGCAGTTCGGACCTTAAACGCACCCGTATACGTAAATGAGCATGGATTTTTTGACAAACGACCGCTTGAGCAATACTTCCACTTTTTAGTGAACTGGAAATCTGCATTTTTTCACAAAATTTGCATTTGTCATTTTTTCACAAAGCGAGCATTTACCGAAAAAACGACCGGACTTCGTGCAGCAAAAAAACGGTAATCATGCGCCTGGATGTCCGCACGGCTCTATAATGCACCACCATCCCAAATGACACCCTTCCTCCTGTTTGCCGAAAGGGGCCGAAGCACGGCCAACATGAGCCCAAGTGTTAGGCTACAGCGGAAGGATCATTCTTGCTAATAGCGATCTGCGAGTTTAGCGCAAAAACGCACGATGCGTTTCAGCCTGGGTTAGGTTTTAGCTTCATTGCGCTGCAAAGCAAAAACGCATAATAAACAACGAGCTGGACATCCACAACAACCATCACTGATATCATAAAAAGGTTAAACTCTTGGTATGGGATTTTGCTGGGAGATCTACTGAGTTGCTAAGGTATGTAGAGTTGGCAAAACGACAAAAATGCAACAAACCTTTCTGCTCGGAGCATCGTACCGGCTGTATCGTGGTGCAGGCTTGCTGCGTCGCGCGGTCGACTGCTGCTGCTGCTGCTGCTGCTGCTGCTGCTGATGTGACGCAGGGCGCTCGGAATCCTGCTTTTTGCTGCGCTGCTGCGGCATATCAGTGCTTCTTCCAGAACTAGTGGTACTGCTAGCAGCAGTATTTGTAGTAGTAGTAGTGGTAATGGCAGCAGTAACTACTGCTGTTGCTGCGGTTGTTGTTGCTATTGTTGTTGCAGTGGTACTAGTAGCAGCGGTAGTTCCAGCTTTGCCCGATGCTGCTGCTCTGGGGGCTGTAGCTGCAGTCCCAGTTTTACCCGATGCTGATGCTGATGTTGCTGTTGCTGTCGCGGTGGCGGCATTACCCGATGTGGCTGTCGTTTCATCCGAAGCGTGGCTTGACGCTGCTGCGGCCACGGCGGTTGCTGCTGCTGCTGCTGCTGAGGGGGCAGCGTCTGCAGCAGCGGCAGCAGCAGCAGCCCCGCCGGACACTATCCGCGCGAATGTTAGCTGCGGCTTGCTGGCCATAAGCAAAAATTGCACGGTGCAACCTGGCACAGGAAAAAACTAATGCCTCTCAATCACAGGCCTGAAACGGGAAAGAACGCATCAGCACACAACGCAACGCGAACAGCACAGCGACTAGCAGTGCGCCTGACTCCAACCCGAACCCCCTCCCCTCGCCGCCCATCTCCCAATACCCGCTGCTTTTTGGTACCATACAAATGCACTCTTCCTTCTCGGCAG